GGAGAAAAAACTGTTTCGAGCGTTTTTTTTCGGTTTTTTAATTTTTTGTTTCGAATTTATTAATGTCAAAATGGTGACACACGGTTGCGGTTTCTAAACTTCGGGCACATTCACACTGGGTACCAAAACCGTAAAACTCCCAAAAAAATGTGCACACGGCTGGTCACACACAATGGTTCCAACCCCAAACACCCCATTCGCAAACCCATTTGTCAGCGGCCTGCCTGGCCGTGGGTTTGAGGAATTTGGTAACCTCTAGAGGTTACCGCAAAATCCTTATTCTTTTTTTTTTTTTTTTTTCGTAAATGAATGCAAAGTTGAGAAGGGAACATGTACATTCTATATTTGGGGTTACTTCTGTGTGACTGGAAACTCCAAACAGCAGCACCCTGATGGCACGGTAGGGACCGTGTCTTTAGCGAAATGGGAACGCAGTGTGACCTGAAACGTCCCAAATACCCCAATTCAGCCCAACCCATTTTCGCAATTTATACGGATTTGCTACCGCAGTGTGAGCGTGCCCTAAACTTGGGCGGTGGGACTTCACCCCAGGTGCCAGTGGTGACTGCTTTTATCAGCATCACTATCACTGGCGGGGGTCTTTGTCCAAAAAAAAAAAAACAACGGATTTGGCCCGCCGGTTGGAAATGCACCAAATAGGCGCGGCGAATATTTCACGGTCAAAATGATTTTTTGTTGTTTTTTAAATATTTTTCCTTTAAAGATCACGACCTAACCTATGGACCCTCAAATTTGCCGACATTTTGATAAATTCTTCTGAGCGCAAAAAATCGGCAAAGTTGCCGATTGCAAATGGCGGGATTTGAACCGCCGGTTGGAAATGCAGCAAATTGGCGCGACGAATATTTCATGGTCAAAACGATTTTATTAATTTTTTGTAATATTTTTCCCTGAAAGATCAGGACCTAACCTACAGAACCTCTGATTTGCAGACATTTTGATGATATCTTCTGATCACCAAAAATCGGCAAAGTGGCCGCTTGCAAATGGCGGGATTGGACCTGCCGGAGACGAACGGTCGCCGCCCCTCCGTACAGGCCAGCTACGGTTCAGACACACAGGCACACTGTGCAACCCCGGTTCACAAACAGGCACATTCTGACGTGCCAGCTGCCTGACGTCGGATACACTTCAAAAGAAAACAGTCCCCAAAAGCAGACAGGGACTTTAGTGTGTGTGCGTGTGCGGTGGGGTGGGGTGCTTCTGCGGCTGTCCGCCCGCCTCTTTTGGACTTGTCATTTTCTTCCCGCGCAAAACTGAAAAGAAACCACCACAAAGAAAAAGGAGAACTCCGAGTTGGAAACTGAAAAAAGGGAAATGAAAAACAAAAATGCAAAGAAAATAAAAATAAAAACGCAGTTACAAAAACCCAAAAAAAAAAAAACCGCAGTTTGCAAATTAAACCAAAAATAAAGGGGGCGTCCTTCCTATCTGACGGCGGGCGCTTCCAGATATACACTTTCAGCGACGCCCGCCGCCGCTCGGCCCCGTGGGCGCGCTCCTTCGTTTCTTGGCGCGCTGTGAACAATTCGGTACGCGCACCGCTCTACGGGCTCCCCCTCCCTCGATCGCCTTCATCCGCCGGCGTGAATGAAAACTTCGGCCCGATTCCAGCGCGCAGCGGAACACGACCTCCCCCCGCGGGCCGCTCGCGCTTAAGGGGTAGGATATATACATATGTATGTATATATATATATATATATATATATATATATTTCAGCCTCCTGATGAGTCGGTGAAACTCCGACGAAACAGTTTGTCACAGCCCCTCGTTTGTTGTCCTCTTCTCCCTCTCTGCCTACGGTTTACCGGGCAGTTCTATTTGACGAAATATATATATATATATCATCGAACAGAGCTGCCTGGTAAATCGGAGGCAGAGGGAGAAGAGGACAACAAACGAGGGGCTGTGACAAACTGTTTTGTCGGAGTTTCACCGTCTGATCAGGAGGCTGAACCCTCAACAGTCTGCAGAAACCCCTTACTCTTGACACTGTAAGTGATAATCCCCCTTAACCCCGGTTGTGGTTAAGCATCAACGACTGCCCGACAACTGATACCCTGAGGTGGGCACCAACCACTATATTTGTCATGCTTCTGCTCTCTGTTTTCCTTCCCTCCTCTGTGTGTGGGCCAACTGTTGTCATCTATCCAATATATCTATCCATACCTCAGCTTCCTTACGGCAGTTGCTCCTCTGTCTAGGATGACCGTACATGCCCCCGTCCCTGTCTATGTATTCATCACCCTAGCTGGTCTTTCATGTTCACCACACCTCTTCTCCCCTCCTCCTCCCCCATGTCCACCATCCCCTTTTTCCCAACCCCCTCCTCCCCTCCTCCTCCCCCATGTCCACCATCCCCTTTTTCCCAACCCTCTGTTTTCCCCATGCCTTGCCCTAAGCACCTGTGCGCCTTCTACTCTTTTGACTGATCCTTCACCGTGTGTGCCCACCTCTGCGCATCGATGTGTTCAACCCTAATCCTGCAGCCACTGCCTGTCTACACACACAAGACTTTTGTCTTCCATCCATGCCTTGTTGTCATCTTCTGCCTCCGTCCTCATACTGATCCTAGTGTTCGCCAATCCCGATGCCCACCATCTCGTTCTGGTTATTTTTATCGCCAAGGTTTTAAAAACACTGAAGTTGTGTGAACCGCTTACATAATGATTGCGATGTTGTGTGGACTGCTTTTCCTAAGAGCTATCCTCATCGTTTCCGTTGTATCTCCATTCACTGGCATTCAGCGCTTACCTGTACCTCTGTGGCGCTGCCTACCAACCTTTGACATACAGACAGAGTTAGACTGAGGAGTCGGAGGCGTTTTCAACGATGTGTCAACTTGTTAGGATTATGGGCCCATATGGGCCCATATGGGACCATATGGGGCATGTCTAGCCCAGAATGGTGCAACCTTGACATATCAGGTACAACTTAGGTGTTTCTCCACGTGGGCTTACCCACTGTAAAGAGTCATAATGAATTGAATAACATCCCCAGGCCCCATCAGATTGAAAGGCGTGAAATGCAAAGAAACTTACAGAGGATCAGTGAATGTATGTGCTTCTTTGTCTGTGTGTGTGTGTGTGTGTGTGTGTGTGTGTGTGTG